CCACCTCACCGGGGAAGCCCATGCCCACCACACAGAGCTTTGCCCTTGACCCCAAGTATGCCACCCCCAAGGTCATCCAAGCACAGGGCAAGGACTGCTCCAAGGGACCCTGTATCCTGCCCATCGTCAAGGACGGGCAGAAGGTCAGCAGCACCCATTACTACCTGCTGCCCGAGCGCCCTGCCTACTTGGACAAGTATGAGAAGTTTTTCAAGGAGGCCAAAAGCCCCGAGGAGGTGTCAGCATCCCGCCTGGTCACCACAGCCACTGTCCGTCCCATGGTGCAGCAGCCACCGGCGGACTGCAAGGCCAACTTCTCCTCCAACAACAGCAACCCTGGGCCCAAATGCCTTGTGAAAGCCTCCTGCAGCCTCCAGAAGATTGTCTATGATGGTCCAGATGGCTGCCGCCCCACCGACAAGATCCGGCTGGTAAGCAGCATCTCTAGCATCTGCCAGGTGGCATGGACTTGCTTGGGCAAGAGCCATCCTCACCCTGTGCCTTGGCTTCCCCAAGTTCAACCCCGGGGGACTGGCTGCAAAAGATCCATAGACATTCTGTGGGATGTGTCACTGCAACTGCAAAATGGGACTGCAGGCCATTTTAACCCAAATTAGCCAGACCCTTGGTCCCAGGGAGGGGGGAAGGAAGGTGGCTGTCACTGTGGTCCTGTTGGGCTCTCCCTGCTGGGTCTGTGGTGGCCGGGAGTCTGCACCCAAGCTCAGAAGAGGCTGAAGGTCCCAGGTATGAGAATGGTTCCAGATCTGGGCTTACGGTGTTCCCCAGGGAGAGAGCGAGGGTGGGGGACAGCCCTGGTACCCTGCTGCTCCAGCCACGGGCTCCTGACTGCGCAGGGATGGTGGCGGGCACTGACCACAAACTCCCCACAGGTGCAGGACACAGTGCATGGTGTCACCACCGAGGAGTGCCAGGCAGCCCTGCAGAACCACGGCTTGGAGCACCCAACGAGCTATCCAGTACCTGAAGGTACCACACAACCCTGTCTCCCTGCCACGGCTCCCACAAGAGTGATGGCACCTCTATCACCCCCATCGCCATGCCCTGTCCCCTTTCAGGTGGAGCAGCTATTCTGCTTGGGGCTGAAGTCCCGCGTTGAGTGCCACCGGGTGCTGGAGATGTTTGACTGGAACC